GGAAAAGGGGAAGCAGAGTGTAGTGGAACCCGAGGAAGTCCAGCTGACCGAGGTCCAGAAGCATCATCTGCCCATCACACTACCCTCCCCCAGTCCATACCCTGAAAGGGAGTTGGCTGACTTGCAGTGTTCTCATCCTGTTTGGGCCCCTCTCCCTTGTGAAATAAGAACTTTCTGTCCATTCTTTCTTATAATCAAGGGGAAAAAAAGAAACCCCACAGAGTTGAGAAAAGGGAAATGTTTGCCCAAAAGAGGGGAAGCGAAAGCTGGTTGTTTTGTGCTGAGACCATGGGACCTGTAACCGGCTTGTTAACAGCACAGCTGCTGTTTTAACCATTCACATGTAGCTTGTCTGGTGTTCGTGATTTGTGTGGACATGGAGAGATGGAAAGCTGCCTGGTGCTCACTAAAATGAAATCCCAGTGCTCGCAGGGTTATCTGTGTGTCCGTCTCCTCTGGGAGGAGAAATTGGACGCAATAGCCTTTGGGCTCTCAACAGTCTTAGAACCCTCCAAGTTGAAGTCCATTTGGAGGTTAATTGAGGTTAAAACCTGAATTTTAAGTCAGACTCTTTTTTTTTTAATGTGGAGGTATCGTGGACAGGTTGGAGTGAACTGGAGTTCTCTGACACAGGCTAGAGGTGGAGGGAAAAAAGAAGAGAGGGAGGGAAGGCGGAGGGTGGTGGGTCAGACCTGGAAATCAGGTGTGCCCAGGTGAGCAGCCCTGCTACGTCAGGGGCATTTCTCCCACCCTCATTTCACTCAGACTCCCACCTGGAAAAACTAATGGCTGTGAGCCCCGTTTTTACAGGCGTGGGACTAAGGCTCAGTAAGGGTGATGCTCGTGGGTGTACAATTAGTGAGTGAAAGGGCCGAGATCTGAACCCAGGTCTCCTGACTCCATCCCAGTGCTCATCCTCGCTGCCGGCTACAGCAGCTGTTGCCCACTTGAACCCCAGCCCAGACGCTCCCATATTGTCATGGCCCTGTGCCTGGGGTGCTGGGGCTGAAAGGAAGAGCTTCCCCAGTGCTCAGTCCAGATGGGCTGGGAGTCAGTGGTTCATGCTGGGCCCCAGCCCTCCAAGCTCAGCTGTGTACTTCACGGGAGGGGGCCCTGGTTCTCCACTGAGGCAGGGTTATGAGCAGGGAGAATAAAGTTGACAGGAACTGTGGAGGAGGACCTGTGGAACCAAAGGAACAGCAGGGTGAGTGCATGAAAGACGCGTCTGCTGCAGTAGCGTGGGGCACCTGGCATGCCTCAGGACTTGGGGGGGTGATGGGGACGACCGCCATGCAGTTGTCAGTGGAGAAGTTGAGAACCATCTGGGAGGTGGGCGATGCCTGTGTTCTCTCCCACCACAGAAACCAAAGAAATCTTGTTTAAAAATTCGAGTTGCCGGGGAAGTGCTCCCATTCTCGCTTGCTTATGATTTAACATCTCAGCAGATGGCTGAGCCCCCCGGGGGCACCTGGGGACACTCTTATTTGACATTTAAGGAGCATTCCACGGGGACTGCCTCCTGCACTAGGTTCTCCTATCTTGGAAAAAATGTTAAGATGCCAAGTATGAGTCAGACGCATCAATAGAAAGAAAGAAAGCCAACTGCTTTGCTCCTCAGAGAGCTCCTTGCTTCTTCTTCCTTGTGAGGAAACAGCAAGACACTTACCTAACAGTTTGGAGGCTGTGTGGGTCCCTGACACAGGGTCATGTGAGTGACAGCCTCTCCATGAGTCACTGAAAAATAGGAAGGCTTACAGCAGAAAGTCACTAGAGAGGGAGCCTCACTGATGGCTGAGGAGATGACTGGAAATGCACTTGGGGGCTCATTAAAAACTGTTCTTTCATCAGTTTGGTGGCATGGGGTCTTTGGTAGCCCTAGCTATTCTTCCGAAAAGAACAAAGCTTCAAATATAATATACTCATTAAAAATTTAAAAAGGGAAGGATATGTAGTGAAAAGTAAGTCCCCCTGCTGCGGTTACGACTTTTGTGTGTTTTTCTTAACGTTTTACACATAGTCACAGGAATATACTTGTACATCCTTAATGGGCTCATACAATTACCATGACTCACCTGCAGCGTGCTTCTTTATTTTCACTTACTGTATATCTTGGGCATATTTCCTTTATCAGTACAATATGATTCACTTCAACTAGTTCACCTCTTAAATGGCTGCTTTGTATTCTGTTGTTCCACCATTTCCCATACTTAACAATGACTGTTCTACACTTGCTTGGTTTTTGGCCTTTTGCTAATACAGAGACTATTTAGTGAACATCCGTGTACCCGTATCATTGCATTTTGAAGCTGGTGGGATAAATTTCTAAATGTCAGATTGCTGAGTCAGAGGGCATGCAGATTGAAAGGTGGGAGAGGTGGCCAGGTGGGCCTCTTCATGGTGGTCCCTACCACTGGGTCGTGTCACGTGTCTGCTTCCCTGCATCTAACCCTCACTGAGAACTATCAGACTGGTCTGCCTCTGCCAGCCCGATTGAAGATAAATATCACCTTAATTTTATTTGTATCTCCCTGTGGTTGAGTCTCTTTTAATATCTGTTGGCCATTCATAGTTCTCTTTCTGTAAATTCACTGTGTCTGTCCTTTCGCCATTTTTCTACTCTGTTTCTATTCCGATTTTTTTTTTTTTAGCTGGGAGCTCAGCGGCAGCTCAGCTTGGGCCGGACTCGAACCGCTGTTGCTCAAACCCTTGAGCGAGCTCTTAACCAACTGAGCCACTCGGCCGGCCCTTATTCCGATTTTTAAGAGCCCTTTGCATATTGAGGAAACAAAGCTTTAAGTATATGTAAGCACTATTTTTTTGTCATCTTGTCACTCTGTTTTTCTAGAAGAGAGGCTTTATTGTCATGTAATCAAACATTTTCCCTTTAAGGTTTTTGTCACTCCAGTACTACATTTTTTTAAATTGCACTTATTTTCTTCATACAACTTCTGTTTTTCTGCAAGACTTTTGTTCCATGCATCAGTTTTTGTGTGTAAGGAATCAAGTGTAAAGATTCAGCCTTACTTTTTTTTCAAAATGCGTAATCAGTTGTGCAAGCACCATTTACTGAGATATACCATTTCCTCACTCGTCTCTACCACACACGCTCAATTTCAACACAGGATATGCTTCTGAATGGTGTGTCTATTTTGTCGATCAGACTGGTCCTGGGCCAGCACCTCCCGGGGGTTTAGAATACATTTACTACCATGATGACAGCCAGGCCTCCACCCGTGCTCTTTTCCACAGCAGTCTTGCTATCCTTCCACATGTATTCCAGATGAATTGTTGCTGAAGCAACAATTAAGTTTAAATAGTCCCTCAAATGTAGTTCAGTGTGTGGGAGGCAGCATGTTAAGTGCTGTCACCTCAGTCATGTCATCTTCATGTAACCCTCGCCAACGACCTGTGATGTGCGAGGAGGCAGGGCCTTTCGCAGAGCCTGCTGTGTAAGCCCCTGAGGTCAGAGACAGGAAATCCCCCCAACACGCGCACACACACTCACAGTCCCTGCTGTATGGATGTCTCACAAGGCCCCGCAGTGGGATGGCACCAGGACACATTTCTTGTTTTCATAGAGCTGCTGGTCTAAGAGCATGATTCAGAGGCTGAGCTGGAAATTGCTGGTCTCCTGACTTACGAGCCAGTCTAAGATCTAAGGGCCGTGGTTGTGATGTCATGGTTTCCCTCTCCGGAAGCCCCATCTCTGGAACTGGAAAGTGGAGCCCTTGGCTGACTGGAAACACCAGAGAAAATCCCAGAAGACTTGTGCCACTGGCCAAACCAGCTCTTCCTCCCTGGCTCTCCTGAGGCTGGCACATGCTGGGCTTAGCTTGGCTTGTGTTTTGCTTGTTTTGTTTCCAATATGGCTTACGAAATTTATTTTCTCATGCATTTTTCTTATCCCACGGGTCCTCCACACAGGACGTAATCACACGGACAGACTGTTTATTCTCTCAGAGTACTAACTTGGAAAAAGTCTCCAACTTTGTTTTACAAATCCATGCAGTGGCAGTTTGGCAATAGCAGAGAGGGCACTGGACTCGGTTTTAGCCTGAACATGTAGGTGTATTCATTCGTGGAAGACAGACTCGTTAATATTGCCCATTGGGCCCTGGGGTTTTGACAGATAGCAAGTCAGCCCTGGCCCAGGCCTCACAGCTCACAAGATAGTTGGGATCACAAACCATCCAGTGAACAGCACCGTTTCAAACTGTGAACTTAGCCCTAGCTCTGAGTGACAGCCCTGCAGACCCAAGCAGCACCATTTACCAGCCCTCAGCTGCACACAGGACTCAGCGCAGGCAACATGGCCCCTGTGCTTTTCTCCTGGCTCCCAGACACCTGGAGGAGAAACACACATGGTCTGTCTTAGCCCGTTCCGCTTGCTCCAACAGAATTCCACAGACTAGGTGGTTTCTAAACAGATGTATTTATCATAATCTGGAGGCTGGAAGTCTGAGATCAGGGTGCCAGCACAGCCAAATAAGGGCCCACTCCAGGTCGCAGACTTTGCACGGTGTCCTCACATGGAGGAAGGGGCAAGGGAGCGCTCTGGGGTCTCTTTTGTAAGGGCACGAAGCCCGTTTGTGAGGGCTCCACCCTCATGACCTAATCACCTCCCAGAGGCCCACCTCCTAATAACATGCACTGGGAGTTAGGATTTCTACATAAATCATGTGTGGTGGGGGTGCAAACAGTCCATAGCATAGCCCTGTGTGCTACAGACACAGGTTGGGACTTTGAGATGAGGCCCAGGAGCCCATGGGCACTATAGGTCCTTGAGGGTTCTCTGCTGCTCCAGCCAGGCTTGACAGAAGAGGACAGTGAGGAACAGAAGGGGACGCATGGCAGCCAGGTTGAGAACAGGGGTCTTTTGACCACGGGGTTGTATCTGGCCCCGGAGCCATGCTGCCTGAAATGGCACCCCTGTTGTGTGTGTAGCATTTGAACTGAGGAAAGGAGGAGCAGCTTGATGTCTGTGTCCTTTTTCTTCCTAGGTAAATCTAGGACCCAGCTTTCAAAATGTGGCAGCTCTTAGCCACCCTCAGCTGCCTGGTGGTGCTGACCAGTGCCCGGAACAGGCCGAATTTCCCGCCCCTGTCGGATGAGCTGGTCAACTACGTTAACAAACAGAATACTACATGGAAGGTGAGTTATGGGGGCAGCTCCCTACACGTGTCACTTCCAAGGGTCAATCTGTGCACCCTGACTACCAATAGGTGGCTGCAGCTTGGCCCACAGGACAGTCTGTCCTGGACAGTTGAAAACCTGATTGAGTCATGGCTGTGCGGAACCATGCCCACCTCCTCCTTTACGTGTGTGTGTGTGTGTGTGTGTGTGTGTGTGTGTGTCTGTGTGTGTGTTGCGTGTATGTGAGCATGCATGGAGGTGCATGGGGAATTAAGCAAGCTTTGAAAGTGTTTTTGCAACTGGATATCCTGTGAGTCCCACCCTGGTAGGCATTAAGGCTCATCAGTATTAGCAGCTCCTTGACTCTGCCCAGCCCTGAGGCCTGGGACTGCAGGAACCAGGAAATGAGGAATTGGCCATATTCACGGCTGGGAGGGGCAGGTTGTCTCTCTTGACATCCGCAAATGGTAGCAGATCAGAGGAGACATGCACTGGTCTGAGAGCTGCACGCTGCCCACGAATGAGGTCCCTCTGGGTTGGTGCCGGCCGGATCTGCAGGGTGCCTGTCTTAGTCTGTTCAGGCTGCTATCACAAAATATCATACATTGGGTAGCTTATAAACAGAAATGTATACACAGTTCTGGAGGCTGGACGTATAGGATCAAAGTGCCAGCACAGCCGGGTTCTAGTGAAGCTCTGCTTCCAGGTTGCAGATGGCCCACTTCTCTGTGTGTCTTCATGTGGCAGGAGGGGCCAGGGAGCTCTCTGGGGTCTCCTTTATAAGGGCACTGATCCCACTGATGAAGACTCCACCCTCATGACCTAAGCACCTCGCAGAGACCCACCTCCAGATACCATCACATTCGGGTTAGATTTCAACATGAATTTGGGAAACACAAACATTAGGTCTGTAGCTTGCTCTGCTGAGTTGGAAGGGACCCCTGGCCTTGTCAGGCCTTGAATGTGGGCAGCATGCACACTCGCATCCACCCTATCCCTTGAAAACACCCCCTCTGTTGGTGGGTGACTGCCGTGGTTGGGTTCTCTTCCAGGCTGGACACAACTTCTACAATGTCGACCTGAGCTATGTGAAGAGGCTGTGTGGCACCATGCTCGGCGGGCCCAAGCTGCCCCAGAAGTGAGTGTCCACTCGCTGGGGCGTGAGCAGCAGGTGTTTGTGTGGGACAGTGGGAAGGAGGGAAGGAAGAAGGCCTCCCTTGCGTCCACAGAGCTGCACGGACTCTACATAAGATGCAGGGCTCAGCCCCAAATGCCACTGTTTCCTACTGTGCTTCTCCAGGTGCCTTAGAGCCCCAGCAGGAAAGGCCTCAGGTCTGGGTCTGCACAGTCTGGTTGGGCGCAATCTTGTGCCTCACTCTTTTTCTAGGGGACGGTCTGCAGTCAGCTGGCCTTTGCAGGGACGCGGTGGGGTGGGCAGCGTGGGTGGTAACATGTAAGCTGGTAATGGAGACTTTCCTTTATCCAGAGTTTGGCTTGCTGACGACATAGTTCTGCCTGAAAGCTTCGATGCCCGGGAACAGTGGCCAAACTGCCCGACCATCAAGGAGATCAGAGACCAGGGTTCCTGTGGCTCCTGCTGGGTGAGGCCCTGCTGGCTGGGAAGGGCTGGAGCGAAGGGGGAGTGGGGGGAGCGGGGGCTGGGAGCGACCAGGAGAGTTGGGGTCGGACCAACTGTGACTAGGCGCGTAACATAAACTTCCTGAGTCTCTGTTTCCACTAGTATAAACATAATAAATATCCCTATGGCCGTGAGTTATTGCAAGGACTAGGCAAAAGAATAAATGTGAAAAGCACCTTGTACAGGGCACGCCCCGTGTGTGGGTTCTTGTGTGACGTGCTTTTATTTCTCTGTTTGACACTCTGTCCCGAATCATTGGCCAATACCACTGGCTTTGACGTCTACTCTGCTTCACAGAGACACAGCCATTCTGTATCAACGAGCTATCTTAATTTTGTTTGTTTTTTAACTGTGGTAAAATATACAGTAATACCTTGGTTTGCGAGCATAATTTGTTTTGGAAACAAACTACTCATATTGTAAGACATCGCTCGTTTACCACGTTAAAATTTATTAGAAATGTTTGCTCATCTTGCGGAACACTCGCAAACCATGTTACTCGCAATGCAAGGTTTTACCATACATACTCTAAAGTTAACCTTTTTTTTTTTTTTTTCTGCTTGCAACTTCATTAACTGGTGTAAATTAGATCAAGTGGTTCTTGTCTCATGTTTCAATCAAGACAATAATAATATTGTATCAAAAAAGGAGGAACATCTGTGATCTTTGAGCAATAGGTATGGAAAAAAGAGCATTACAGACTAGCAAAATGCTTTTTTACCTTCTATTTCCCAGGGCTATTCTGAAATAGGCTCTGCCCTGTTAGATTAAGAAGAAACTAATCCATGAAACCCTTTATAGTTCTTATGGCTTTAAAGTTAACCATCTTAATCATTTTTAAGTGTACGGTTCAGGGGCATTAAGTACACTCATTATTGTGCAGCCATCACCACCATCGATCCAAAGACCTTTGTCATCTTGCAAAACTAAAACTCTGTCCCCATTAAACACTAGCTCCCCATCCTCCCTCCCACCAGCCCCCCACAACCACCCATCTGCTTTCTGTCTTTATGACTTTGACTAATCTGGGTACCTCATAGAAGTGAAATCAGAGTATTGGTCCTTTGCGTGAGCTGTTTTTATGTTAAACCTCAAAACCACATGTTGTAGAAATAAACTCAGTGCCCAAGTAGAGGTTCGGGGAGGATGGGCCTCTTGCTTTGAAGCTCAGCTTAAGTGCCAGGACCCTCACTTGAGACGTTGGGAGAGAGTAGCCACCAAGAAGGTCAGAGGTGCCCACTGTGGTCCTCCAAGATGGTGGCTGGAGGGCTCCACAGTCCAGGAGTGGGGCTTACCTGAGTGGGCCGTGTTCCTACAGGCATTCGGAGCTGTGGAAGCCATTTCTGACCGGATCTGCATTCTTACCAATGGGCATGTCAACGTGGAGGTGTCTGCCGAGGACCTGCTTACCTGCTGTGGCATCCAGTGTGGGGAAGGGTGAGTCTTAGGCAGCACCTCCCAGCTCAGGAACCCAGGCCCTTGGGAATGGCCTCCTTAGGTGGACAGTGACTGAGGGTTCCCTGGGAGTGGTACTCCTTCAGGACGGATAGTGGTCCTTTGCCAAAATAATGTGGGGACCTGGGGCGTCTGAAAGCAGGCCCTGGCATGACTGCTGCTTTCTGGGAGGTTTCTAAAACCAGGCTAGCCTCATAGGGCTGGCTGTGGGTGGTAGGGTCTGGGCAAGACAGATGGTCTCAGGATCTGTGGTTAAATTTCAGATCTCAGGTTTGGTTTTTGTCACCCTTATTCCATTTTCTTGCTCAACAAAATGTAATAGCTTCAGGGCCTGTTTCCTTATCTGTAATTAAGGATAATGGGCCCCCATATTAGTCACAGGGCACTAAACCCCTGTCTGCCTGGGGTATTGCTATCTGCCAACTCTGGCCTTGGTCCTGCAACAGTGGTTCTCAGCCATGGCTGCAGATTAGAAAAAGTGTACTGAGGCCTTACCCCTCACCAATTAAGTCACTGGCGCTGGTGTTTTTTGTAAGCGTCCCAGGGAATTCTATGTGTTGCCTGATTGCGAATACCTATTCTAGAAAGCGCATGACCTGGTTTGATATAGACACGACTGTGAGCATCCTTCTGTCTTCTTGAGGATCTTGGTGGGTGGGCTGGGGAGCTTGGGTGATTCGCTGGAAGAAGGGACTATTCAGGAAAGGATGAATTGGGAGGTCTGTTGGGATCTAGGAGACCTGTTGGGCGAGTTGCTGAAGGCAGTGGTGGAGCCACCAGGCAGTGGGCTAGGAGCAGCTAGCACCTCTCATGACTGTTCTAATGAATGGCTCTTTTCTTAGCTGTAATGGGGGCTTTCCCTCTGGAGCTTGGAACTTCTGGACAAAACAAGGCTTGGTTTCCGGTGGCCTCTATGACTCCCATGTAGGTGAGTGTCTGCCTTCAGCCCGTCTGGCCAGATGAATTTTATAAGCAATGAATAATAATGATCTCATTATCCATTATAAAGTGAAGGTTGAGGGTTGAGGGCTAGAGTGCTGGGCTGAAAAATAGGGTAGAAAGACAAGCCAGTCCTCTCGATGGCAGAATTAGCAACAGGTGGAAGAAATCTCAGGCTGCAGACTTGAGGGTAACGACTGTTTGCGTTAGTCATCATCCCAATTCTTTCTGCCTTCGAGGGGCCTCCGTAGCGGGTGTTGGCTGACACCCTTCTTTCTACTTGCTCCGCACTCCCCGCCCCCCCAACAGGTTGCAGACCCTACTCCATCCCTCCCTGTGAGCACCACGTGAATGGCTCCCGGCCCCCATGCTCAGGGGAGCAGGGGGACACCCCCAAGTGCAGCAGGATCTGTGAGCCTGGCTATAGCCCATCCTACAAAGAAGACAAACACTTCGGTAAGCACTCCAGACTAGAGACCTGCGAACAGCCTTCTCAAGCCAAAGAGAGAGGCTAGGGCAACTGAATCTTAGAGTCAGAACCCAGGATGGAGAGGGAAGGGCATTAATGCCGTCTTCATGCTGAATTCGGCCTCAGGAATGTTGTCTTACAGTCACAGACCCGTCGAGTTTAAGGGACCAAACCCCTGGTTTTACAGAGGGGTGAACGGGCCTAGTCTCCTGGGTCCCACTCTGCCCACTGCCCCCCCTACCTCAGGGCCTCGCTCTCCTGCTTCTCAGCTCCCAGATCCAGTGCAATCACTGCTCCCCGGGAGCCTCCCCCGACCCCCACCCCCACCGCCCTCCTGGGTTGGGCAGGTCCCCTAGATGCTCAGTGTTCCATGGTGGCTCCCGTAAGTCAGTGAACAACTGGCTGATGGAGCTGTGGTAGGTGAGCCTCACCCACTGGGCTGGTTCATTTGCAGGATGCAGTTCCTACAGTGTCCCCAGCAGCGAGAAGGAGATCATGGCGGAAATCTACAAAAATGGCCCTGTGGAAGCGGCCTTCTCCGTGTACTCGGACTTCCTGCTCTACAAGTCTGGTGTGTATTGATCCCTGATGGCAGAGGGTGGAGCGGGGACAGGGTGTCCGTGGAAAGGCGGTGTCAGGCCTCCCCTGGCCCAGCTCTGCAGGCCCCTCAGCAGCCGGCCTCTGACACCCATCATCACTGCTCTCAGCAGCTGCCCCTGCTCTGCTCTCCTGCACCCGTCTGCCTCTTGCACGCGTGCCATTCCACGTCTCCTCTCCAGAGTGTTTCCGTGTGGCCAGTTCCTACTCATCCCTTAATAGCCAGCTCAGATATCTCCTCAGGGATGCCTTTCCTCACCTCCCTGGCTCCCGCCTGTCTGCTTCCATTGCTTTGTCAGCATATTCATCAGTAACTGTGCGTTTTATGTGTCTGGACTAAGTGACTTTCTGTATTCATCTATGTCTTGGCAAAGTCCTAGCATCTTGCCTGCCATCCAGTGGATGAGGAAATGGAGTACCTGCTGTGTGTGACACTGGGGGGATTCAAACTGGGGGACTGGATGGTCCCCGGCCTAAGAGCTATCTTAGAAACCCCCCGGTCGAGATGAACAGTCTGTGCTGACTGCTTGTGTCTTGTTTACATGCTGCTAGATTGAAAACTCCAAAGCTCTCCATTCTTCTAAACCAAGGATTAGACAAAGGAAGATGATTCTGGCAAGAAAAAAACATGTTATAAAGCTGGCAGTTCTTAACCCAGTCCCCACCCACATTATAAAAGGATGTATTTCAAGTTTGACAAAGTGACTCACCAATGAGGGGATAGCCTGATTGGCCAGCCCTCTGAGCACTTTAGCCAGTATTTTTCTCCACTGATCAACATGGTCTGCCACCAACTCAGCCTCTCCTGCGTCACCTCTCCAAGGTGACCAACCCCAGAGCAGCAATTTAAAACTCTTTCACCCACAGAATCCTTTTGACAAATCCTTACATGGAGTTCCCAATATGTAAAACAAATAATTGATATTTTAACATTAATTTCTTTATTTTTTTTAAAGATTTTTATTGGGGAATTCGGGGATGTGAACAGCACTGGGGAATGGGGGGAAGGGGAACAGACAAGTTGCTGTCATTTTTTTTGTTCTTCAGTCTAGTTGTGGAGGATGTTGCTTCACTGGCCCAAGTTGGCACCATCATTGCGCTCTTCCCGGGTGAGGCAGATCAGTCGCCGGCTTCTGGACGGCCACTGACAGTGGCTGCTGGCTGCTCACGTTGGCTGCTGGCTACACACAGTAGCCCATGGCAACCCACTGCAGCAGGGGCTGCAGCTTATGCCGTCGCCAGTGACTCACGGCAGCCCAGCTCCAGGTTGAGCTGTTGTTCAGCATCTTAGCTGTAGAGGGCAGTGTCACTGGCCCTCATATGTGGGATCCGAACCGGGGCCCTCTGGCATCCCAAGCCAGCTCTTAATCAATGCGCCACTCGGCCAGCCCTAACTTTATTTCTTAAATGAGAATTTTTAACTTTGGTTTTAAAGGAAACCAACAAGCATCTTTTGTTGGGCTCCTTTTTAATGTTTACTCAAATATTCGAGTGTATTAGGCTTTCAAATAATCCCTGAGTATTGTGGGAACCCTTGGAGCCTTGCGATGGAACAGTAGGGTTCTATAGAACCCTGTTTGAAAACGGGTTTCATCCTTTCCTTGTGGCAGGCCTGTTGGACCCTCTGGACCTCGGTTGTCCTGAATGGGGGTAGCCAGCTGAGTTGGAAGGATGCTGTGAGATGGGGCAGTGGCACGGTCTCAGCCTGAACAGGTTTTGCCTTTCTCAGGAGTGTACCAACACGTCACTGGAGAAATGATGGGAGGCCATGCAGTCCGCATCCTGGGCTGGGGAGAGGAGGACGGCACCCCCTACTGGCTGGTTGGCAACTCCTGGAACACTGACTGGGGCGACAACGGTGAGTGGCTCCCTTCCTGCTAACAAGGTGTTATGAACCAGAACGTAATTGTTATCTTGTCCTCTGCTCTACCTGCTGCACAGCTGCAAACCCTAGGCCTTGGGCTTACCTGTGACCTTCTAGGTGTCCAGGTGCTAGTGAGCTGGGGTTTTCTTCTGCCACGAGGGCAGCCTCTGATCCCGAGAGGGTAGAGGGGACCAGGACCCAGCTTCACATCGTTTGTGCCTGCCAGTTAGCTCCCCCTTGTACCAGGTGCAGTGATGGGGGACATGGGGTTGAATGGCAGTGGCATCCAGAGGCCTCACGCTGGGCTGCTGGGCAAACAGGACAAGCTGACAGCACCTTGGTGCTGGTTTGGTGTGTTTGGAGGCTGCTTAGTGATCTGCTCCCGGGCTTCAGGGATGAGTCTGAATACATTGGCAAGGGCCAAAACCCAAGGCACATTTTAAGGCATCTCACTTTTGCTTTCCAGGCTTCTTTAAAATCCTCAGAGGAGAGGATCACTGTGGAATTGAATCGGAAATCGTGGCTGGACTCCCATGCACTGAGCAGTACTGGAAAAGGATCTAATCTGCTGTGGGCCAGTCCAACCAGCCCTGGGGCAGTTTTTCCCTAAATAGAGCCAGTAGGGCTGGGGATGAGATGAGGGATGGGAATGTCTTTTATTTTTTGAGTTCAAATAGGATACAAGAGGTTTTAGACAGGGCCTGAAGGACTGGATTGGGCCAAACCTCGTGTCTGCCATGAGAGCTGTCTTCCAAGGAGACACATCCAAGGCCTGGCTACCTCCCAGCCTGTTCAGTGGACTGCTGTCACAATGCACATGAACCAGGGAGGCCACTGCTGCAAGCAGAGCAAGTCCTGCCCCCGTAGACTAGTGCTGCTCCGGCTGTTGCTACAACTATCTCCACGTCTTTCCCCATCCATGCGTCACCAGGGAGCATAACACACCTAGAGCGTTTGTAGGTTTTCCAAAGGGATGGAAGGCACAGTTCCTGACAAAACAGCTTCCCACCCGCCGGCAATACCTCTAAGTAGCTTTCTAGATTTGGAAATAGGTTGAGAAGACAGTTGGGCAGTCCTTTGGAGAAAGCTATTCTCCCAGGACATCTGCATCTGATGAGCTTTGCAGTGTTGCTAATCTCCTCTGGTCTAATCCTTGGCATGATTCTTTTTTAATAGAAGTTTTATTTTTTCTGCACCTCCGCTGATCACGTGAACAAGAGTCTAATAGTTGGAAGAGCTGTACTAGTTTTACAGACTGTCTCCTGAACACAGAACTGGGTGGTTGTGACTTGACCAACCTACCGACTTGTACTACCACTAGTTTGGGAGAAACCAGATCTGTTTAAAAATCACGCTTCACCCTGTTAATTTAACAAGGAAAGGAATGACTGTGCCAATAAAAGATTTCTCCTTCCATGTAAAGCCTGTGTTCTGGTGGTTTCTCAAAGATCATTTGTCACTGTAGACTTGCAGCTGCTGTCTGTCCCTGTCCTCCAGAAAGAGCCATGTTCCCGTGGATCTGGGTGCTCTTGAAACTCTAACCAGAGCTATCTTGCCTCAGTTGTGTGGAACATAATAAAATGCCTAATTTTAGCTTCTCACTGTCCCCCACCCCGCTATACTTTCAAACCATGGCTTCTATCCCTTCTTAGTTCCCTGTCATTCTCATTAACTCTTCTCTGTAAATGCAGCCCCGAAACGAGCCCCAAGCCTTGATGAGCTCTGCGCCCACTTAAAGAGCCAAGAACATAATTGTACTCGATTTTTTTTGTACCAATGACAAACCAGCAGTAACCTGTCAGGAGTCACACAGGCATGGTGTATCGGTGAGACCATGACGCAGGTGTCCTGCTGGCGGACCAGCCTCTCCCGGGTAGCCTCCAGTGTTGGAATGGGTGGGTGGAGGCAGCCTGTGTGTGGTATTCTGAGATCTCCCTAGGACTCCAGTTTATATCGCTAGTGCAGAACTATTCCTTCAGGTAATCCTAGTTAAGACTCAAGCAATGAGGAACTCCAGGCTTTTGAGGGGACAGAGGAAACCAGAACGAGCACGGTACCCACCACACTGGCCTGTCAGTACCTCAGTTTTTCCCCCTTTCCCAGCTGAGACTTGGACTAGCTCTTCCCAGTATTCGAAGTTTGACTTCCAATGGGACTCGGAAGAATCAGAAGCTACCTCAAGTAAGCTCTTAAACATCTGGTAAACACTGTGGGAAAAATTTGTGAAACTCATCATAGCATTTGTGTCATGTTTAACAAGGGTTACCACAGCCACCAATTCATAATGACTTTATTCTTAAAATTTCAGTTAGAATACATTTATAAACCTCAATGAAATTGACATTCGACCCACTCCCCAACTGAGTTGAATAATTCCATTTCCACACTGCTTTCCCCATGTCCACCGGGTCCCTATCGGCAGCTCCATCCTCACCCCGGGAGCCAGCCGAGATGTGCTAAAATGAGGTAACAAAATGAATTGTGAGGCATGTTCGCACTGGGCTTCAGGAGTCTGTTAGAAACCAAAACAATTTTATGATTGATATTGGGATCAATATTAGTCTTTTAACCTCAAATTACCCCACTGATCATTACCTCATCACCTCAGCTATTCTGCGGAAAACTTAAAATACTCCACTGTAAATAGGAATCAAGTAGACTATGCCAGGGATGCTGTACATTTGATTAATAACATTAAATTATGGGGTTGCCAAATTCAGCCAAATAAAAATATAGAATGCCCAATTTGATTTGAATTTCAGATAAATATGTCCCATGCAATATTTGGGACATAATTATACTAAAATAATAGTTTATCTGAAGTCCCAAGTTTAAGTGGGTTTTAGCCTGCCATCTTACCTGGCAATTTTAGTAGAGAAGCATTTCAAAGGTAAACAACCATCCAAAGAACTTAGGAGTGGGCATGAGACCTTTGCACAAGTCAGTAATAGTAAAAATTCCATAGCTTTGTGGCTGGGAGGGACCTAAGAGGTCACCTAAATCACACAAGCTCAGCAAGTCCCACAGGTCATAACTGAGCCAGAAGAGAAGCTTCCAGTATGTCCATCTCGGACCAAGGTGTGAACTTCAGCAGAACTAAGATTTCAACGCACAAATTTTTAACAACCTGCCTTAGAATCTCAAACCAAGTTTTGATGCTCAAACTACTTACTGAGTCTGGCTCAAATCTGTACATGGCAAGTCACTTTACTTGTCCAGGACCGAGGTTCCAACAAACCAATGAACCGAACGAAGCCTCTATGGACCAAAACCAAGCCAACTGTGTCAGATGGCGGCAGCGGTCACAGGAGGAAAATCAGTGTGGGTATGTGTATAACGATGCAAAGCCAACAATGCTGCAAAAACATCAAATCCAAGAGATTGCTGTACATAGGGGACTGCAGCAAAAGAGTAGACTGTATACGATACACACTGAGTACTAAAGGGCTTCTAGAAAGCACTTGAATGCCCTACGTCAATGATTCTTAGCCCAAGGGGCTTTTTCAGAGGCATGTCCCCCTCGCCTAAGCTGAGACCTCAGTGCCTCACTGGAGGTGAGAGTACGTCACAAACCTCTGCTGTACATGGTAGGGAGGCAGGCCAACTATGGCGCTAGGAGAATTAAGCTGAGTACCACTTGGCTTTCCAGCCCATCACCTGACAATAGCTTTCCTTTTTCTTGAGACTTCAGTGTATAAACTGGTAATTTAAAAACAAAAAACACTGGCTCAGTTGGTTAAGAGCTCGCTCAAGAGTGCGAGCTCTGAGCAACAGTGGTTCAATGCCCGGCCCGAATCTTGTAGGATTAAAGCAGGAGGGGAAGAAAAGGAGGGGGAAGCTGATATCATTCCTTGAAAAAACGGTCAGTCCATTTCATGGTGAGCTTCGGCTTCCAGACCAATTCCAAATCAGTGCTCCCCAGTCTGAACGTAGTCCTCTGTGACCTGGGCCAGTGTGCTCAGACACTGCCAGCTCAGGGCAGCCAAGAGCATGACAAATGACAGGTAGATGGGGGAGTAGTGGCTTCGGGAGATCAGCTGACAGCTGGGGAAATTCTGTGTCCTGATCGTGGAGATGATCTGCCTTGTTTTACTAGAAGATGAGTCTGAGTTGGGGATTCTATGATAAATCTGTTAAAGAAAAGAAAAAATAGTAAGTGCTATTTCTCGAGTCCTGGGAACTTATAAACATCTTCTGTGTCGACTGCTGACAACAACCCTAACAGCTAGGGATTTCACAACCCTTTCAGCAATGAAGAAACTGAGAACATGAAAGTATTATAACCCCACGTCCCTCCACTAAGCAGGCAGGACGTCGGATCCAGGCCTGTGGAATCCCAACGACCGTCCTACAGAGCAAACAGGAGGCCTGAGTGCATGTGGCACAGGGAGCTGATGGTCCTCACTGATCTGTCCCCACACCTGCCAGAGCCAGGCACACAGCAGGCGCCTGGTCATGTCTGCAGTTTTTAGGCTGAAGCAGAGTAACATGGAGAAGGGGAAATAATACTGGAAACACTGGCAGACACCGCTTAGGAAAACAACACTGAATCTGCAGTACAGGTCACAGGCTGGACGGAAACAGGCAAGAGCAGAAGCAGGGCCCCTGAGGGTCACCCTAGAGTCCTCCCTGCACCTCCACGCCTCCTAGCCCCTCCGCAAACCTCCGAAATATTTGCTGAACTCCGTGTTCTACGTGCCTCCAATTGCTGCCCCTGGGTAGGCCCTCAATGCCTCTCACTTGAGCTGTGCCAGCCTCCAAACTGCTCCTGCCTCTGTGCTGGACTCCTAAAACCCACTTCTCCACACTGTCACCAGAGATCTAAACCCTCCATTTGACAACCTCGGTGACCCGCTATCAACAGCTGACACGGTCTGAGCTCCTAGCATGGAGCACAAGGTCACCGTGACCTGGGCCCACTGTACCCTCCCCCCAACACTCTACTAACAACTGCCTGTGCTATTTTGCGTGTGCTATTGCATGCTCTGTTCCTTCCTTTGCTTACACCATTCCCTCCGCTGGAACGCTCTTCCCACGTTCCTTCACCTGGTTAACTCTTACCTATCGCCCAAGTCTCAACCTAGGTATTATGTCTTGTAGAAAACCTACCTGAACACTTGGGTTGGGCCAAGTGCCACCCTCCTGCACATACCTCTACCTTATCTCTTGCATTGAAATCATCTACTGTATTTGTCTCCCTAACTAGACTGCAAGCTCAAAGGCACCTTGTGTTAGTCATGTTACCTCCAGCCTAGCACCGTGCCTGGCACACAGCAGACCCTCCATAAATGTTTACGGACAAACCAGTTAGGTGGGAAGTGACAATGCTCTGAGCCAAGATGGAGGCAAAATGGATGAAGGGCAGGCATTATAAAAATAATTGTTTTTCAAGATTTCCATTACATAATGGATATTTTTTTCCATAAACATGTATTCTTACCACCTTCCTTCCTCCCCCCAAAAAAGCATAGCTGCAATTTCATATAGCACAGAAAGAATATGCCTACAGGAATACATTAATGATATCTAATACCTAATAATTATGCTACAAAGGACAACTATACAGAGAAAACAGAGATGGGGCTGAAACTACAATTTCTTTAAAAAACTTTTAGATGATGGAATCATACTTGTAAAAACAAGCAATACAAGACTAAAATTAAAAGTCAAAGCTCCCTTCCACTACCCCTCCTCAGACACAGGCTGGTGTAGTTACTTTTACACCAACTCTCACTATGCCCTTACAAGTCTATGTATAAAAATGTATAAAATGTCAGGTATGTTCCCATAATCCTGACACAATACTTTAAGCAAAATAACTGGTGCCCTAAATCAGAGACCAGCCAACCTTTCCTTTTTTTCCTTAAAGGACCAAAAAATATCTTCTGTTTAGTGGGTCGCCCTCCGCTGCAGCTACTCCCCGCTGCCTGCCACTGTGGTGCAAAAGCAGCCAGACACTGTGCAAATGAACGGGTGTGGCTGCGTTCTCATAAAAAGTTACTGACAAAAACAAGGGGTCAGCCAGCGTGGCTGGCCCACCCCTGCCCTAAATCCAACTGTGAATCACAACTAGCATTTAATTCCAATAGCTAAGGAAAACACCAAAAAATTCCGAAATTTTAATACAGAACTGCCTACAGCATTTTTTAAAGTGGTTTTCCAAAATTAATGACCAGAATAAAACTGCAAAACTGAAATATTCCCTGAACTACATACGTACTACATAAAATGTTTCTAATCCACATAAAATGAAGAAATAGTGCCTCAAATGGCATTACAGTCGTCCCTCAGCATCCGCGGGGGGTTGGCTCCAGCACTCAAGTCCCTTATATAAAATGGCACACTATTTGCACATAACCCATGCACATCCTCCCTCCTATACACTTTAAATCTTTTCTAGGATACTTATATCTAATATAATGTAAATGCTATGTAAATAGTTGTTATACTGTATTGTTTAGGGAATAATGACAAGAAAGAAAAGTCTGCACATCTTTAGTACAGACACATACATCGTAGGCCTAACTACACAGTACACGTCAGCAATAAAATAACTCTTTCCCCCCCAATATTTTTAACCTGTGGTTCGTTAAATCTGCAGCTGTGGAATCTGAGGATATAGCGGGCTGACTGTATTCACTTTCAAAAGGTAATTCAACCCCTTAGCATCGTGGAAAACAGCAGAGGTGCTGAAGTTAGCGAGACCTGGGTCCAAATTATGGCTGTAGCCATAGAGTTAGGGCCTCAGTTTCCTAGATATTAAGGGTACCCACCTATTTGGTTGATATGCAGGCACATGAAAAGCCCTGAACAAATGCTACCTGTTTGGTGAACCGAATTGTCCCGCGTCTCATCGGCAGCAATTGTTTGCTCAATGGCTGAACACTTTCACCCAGTCACTACAAGAATTTTAGGAATTTAAAAAATTGTGTTCTTCTCTAATACCTTCTATAGTAGTATGTAGTTCAGGGAATATTTTAGTTTTGCAGTTTTATTCTGGTCACTAATTTTAGAAAACCATTTTTAAAAATGCTGTAAGCAGTTCTGATACTATATTAAAATTCCGAATTTTTTTTGGTGTTTTCCTTAGCTATGGGAGCTAAATCCTAGTTGTGATGATTCGCAGTTGGATTTAGGGCAGGGGTGGGCCAACCTGGTATAAATGCTGAGGTCCAAAACTTGTCAGATACAAAACAAGGAGGAAATATAAGGAGAATGTGCAATATGCAATAAAAATCAGAGGGAATAATTGTTTTATAGAATTCTGTTTAGATGAACCACTGTTTCAAATCACATCCCTGTAAAGGCATAACCAGGGAACTGGAAGGATGCAGAAAAATATTAACTGTGGTGATCTCTGGAGAGAGAGAGGAGCGAAAAGGGTCTTTTCATGTTTTCATGTATTTCTGTAGTATTTCAATCTTAAAAAAGAACATATCTAAGGACAGTGAGGCCTCCATTCCCCAGATGGCAGTAGCCGTCCCCCTCCTCAGTTGTGACAATCAACAATGTCTCCAGACATTGCCAAATGTCCCCTGGGGGTAGAGGGGAAATAAAATCACCTCCATTTGAGGGCCATGCCTATCGAATAGAGGGCTCTAGCCTCTAAAAAAAGGTTCTTTTGAACTTAGTCATACTTTATTAGAGATTTGACTTAAACAAGCATGTTGTGTTTTATAAGATGGTTTTAGCATTTAAAATGGGATTTGCATTAGAAAATTTAGTAATAATTGCAACTTGGTTTTCCTTTGCCAAAATTCCCTATTATGGTTTCTCAATTGAGGCCCATGATATAATGGAAAGTACTGGACTGGGATCCAGGAACCACTCAGTCAGACAACGTATTAGCACAGAACCTCAGCCTGACACTCCTTACCTGTAAACAAGAAGCTTGGTTGGCCTCTAACATCATCTCCTAGCACAAAAAATATGATTCCACTTAGGATCTCCATCCTAAAGCCTTGCTTCATTGATCTCCTGTCGCCAGGATCCTGTGCCATTCGGGACAATCAGCTCCGTGTGTGCACCCTTTTTCCTAATAAAGGCTACAGACTCCTGTCTCAATGCCATAACAGCGTGAGCTGTTAGGATCATCTCATATCCAAATATGAAAGGTTTCAATAAGTGACACTATTTAAATCGTAAAAGTAGCTACAAACTATCCAGGTATTTAAATAAACACCCACCTCTTCCATATACTGGTATATCATAGCTTTGACAGCTGGCATGTTGGTGGCATCCATCATTAGGGTTACCGCTTGTCCTTTTCGAATCTTCACGACTCCTTTGAACACTTGCTGATTATTATAACAGGCAGCCAAAGTGGCAATGGCCATTACCTACAGATAATCAGGAAAGGAAAAAAACACTAATTCAGTTCATGAAAAAAAAGTAAGAAACAGTGCTGTAGGCAATTACCATCATGAAACAGTAAGAATGCATTCCATAGAATGAGAAAGAGCTGCCAAAGAGCTAAGATGTAACTAGCCAAGAAAAAATACCCATGAAGAAAGCATGTCTAGATTTTTACATTTCCCACATCCCCCTTTCTCAAAACACAGGGCAATTAAGTGGTCTTTGCAGTCTTAAATGATTTTAGTTTAGCCATGAAAACTCTTTATTTGGAAAAAGCAAACACAAACCAAAGTAACATATTCCATGCTAGAGCAGTAAGTTATTAGATCTGAAAAAATATATCTCAAAAATAATATCTGACAAGAATTTTCTATTTTTCTTTTTCCTACAATGAACATAATCATTATACATTAAAAAAAAAATAGCATGAGGGTGGAGGGGCAAGCAAAAGGGAAGGTAGTTTCCCACACTCAACGGTAAATTATTTCTAGGATAAACGAAAACCTAAGTCAGGCATACAGATCTTACTTACAACAACCATTCGAGATTGATCATTCGATTTCTTTGTATAAATACCCAGAAGTAGAATTGCTGGGTCATATGGTATACCTATTTTTAATTTTTTGAGGAACCTTCATACTGTTTTCCATAGTGGCTGCACCAATTTGCAATCCCACCAACAATACACGAGGGGTTCCCTTTTTTCAACACCCTCACTAACACTTGTTGTTCGTTGATTTATTGATGATAAGTCTTTCTGACAGGTGTGATAGCTCACTGTGGTTTTAATTTGCATTTCCCTGATGATTAGTGACGTTGAGCATCTTTTCATATATCTGTTGACCATCTCTATGTCCTCTTTGCTAAAATATCTATTCAGGTCCTCTGCCCATTTTTTAATTGGATTGTTTGGGTTTTTTTGGTGTTAAGTTGTATGAGTTTCTTATATGTTTTGGATATTCACCCTTTATCGGCTTGCCAGTTATAAAAAGAGTCACGAAGATATAAAGTGCAGCACAGGGAATATAGTCAATAATATTGTAATAATATGTATGGTGTCAGACGTATAATAGACTTATCAGGATAATCACTTCATAAGTTATATAAATGCCTAATCACAATGTTGTACACCTAAAATTAATAAATAGTATATGTCAGTTGTAATTAAAAAACTTTTTTAATTAAAAAAAAGATTGGTCATTAGAACAAGATTAAACCACGTTTCCAAATCAGTTAAATCCAATGACTTTCTTCATTTAATTGAGTTAAAAACTGAAATAACTGGGCTGGCCGAGTGGCACAGTGGTTAAGAACTGGCTTGGGACGCCAGAGGGCCCCGGTTC